ACCTTGCGTTGAATATCTACACTCTGGATTTTTTCTATCACGATCTTCGTTCTAATTGACACAAACTGCACACCAGCATTCCGCTCAAAACCAAATCAAGTCAATATAAGCATTAAGAATCTGAAGTTCAAGCTGCTTGCTAACAACCAAAGAAGATGAAAAAAAGCACAGATGTGAAGTGAACGTTCACCGACGTACTTTACCAATACGGATGCTTCCGGATAGTAAAAGAAAAAAGGAAAAGGGGCTACCTGTGCAGCACCTGAACCAGGCGCAGTGTTTAATATGCGCAGAAATTCCTCCTGATTGTTTTGGATGATTTCCATCAGCTCAGGGTTTACAGTTGCGATTTGCTGAAAATTTAAAATTGAGCTTTTTTGTGTGAAGCCCCTTTATGCGTTTCATACAGCCTTACTTATTAGAAAATCATAAGGAAGAAAACATGATTCTTCGAAAAGATCTAACTACATCGTTGTTGTAGAACACGACAAACTGTTCTCGAATTGATCTTACCTGAATTAATGAAGGGAGAATCTCAGGATTGGAACGCACAAGATTACGAAGCTCATCCATTTGCGGTAAGTGGCGCAGAGCTTCAAGCTGAGACGCTGGAGCTTCACCTATGAACAAGCTTTCAAAAACAGAAAGGGCAAAAAATCTGATCTGAACGCGTCATGGTGGCGAAAAAAAAATAACACAAAGAAAAGGCTGATTTAAAAGGAATAAAGAGTTAACCGTAATCTATACTTATTGTTAGAAGATTTAGGAGCGAGAAAGAAGATGGATGAACGGCAGTGGAGTAGCTTTACTCATTGTCAAAACAGCACCGGATGGAGAAAAACTAGCCAAAACGATGGAAAGAGGTTGGGACCTTCTGGCTATGAATAGCCCCAGGCTGTGGAATGCGCACTCGGATGAAGAGCTGCAGATATACTTCGCCCACCAGGAACGTATCCATATGGCCGGTGTCAGGCTTTGTGAATGAAGCGATTCGCTAGCGAATAGCGGCGTACGAGCGATGCGTTCTAGCGATGCAGCAACGGTGGGGGTAAGTGGGCGAGAGTCTCCTCTTATCACACAATGAATTTCGCTATTCCCACGGAATGATGATGATTGTAAGTATCAGAATGAATGCGGGCCTTGTTTCAGCCGAACCACTTGAAAAAGGTAAGAGTTCCTCATGATTATACGAAAATTGGACTGAAACAATTCACCTCCTTCACTCTCTTCTTCTTCACCACCGACTTCAATAGGCATTTGCTCTTCATTCAGGGATTGTTTACACTCACAAGATCACAGCACTCGATCGGGTCCCAGTACGCGCTCGAACAAGGCGGAATGACTATCAAGGAGGCAAATCATCAAATGTCATTTTTCATAATCAAAGCACTTGTCAGCACAGGTGCAAATCATGAAAGCGTCCGACGAATATAACAAATTGAGAATTACCTGATCACGAGGATATCCCATCGCTTGTATGGCTTCAATAGACGACTCCTGATCGGTGGTGGAAGCTGACTAAGATTGATCACGATGCATAAGAACTATGTAAAACATCATCTCAGAGTATAGAAGATATATCCAAATTTTAAATACTTTACCAAACAGTGAGCAAATTCGGACAAAAACTATAAGCGGTTACGACAAAATGGGTCAATTTTGAGTAGTACAGACTTGGCAACTCGCATTGCGCTTCCTTACCAATCGACAGAACGAGGGTGACACCGTCTCACTCTGTCGCTTGCCGTGTGCCTTGCACACTAATCCCGAATCGGAGTAATGACGCAAGACCCACATCCATTTTCCTCTTACTTTCCCATTATGCTTGCAGACTTCGCCACTGATAACGCATAGAAGCAAAAAAGGGAGGGGTGAAATGAATTTACTTGTCATAGGGGGAGCCAAAGTTTCAGCGCGAGGAAAGGGATAATATTAACTACGCAAATTAATTACGAGAAACCAATTAGGTAAATAAAAAGGGCCGTGTAGCAACAGAATCGTCCGGAGACCCGCGCTTATGGTCGCGGCCGCGACGCCGCGATGGCGGTGGACGAGTTTCATTCATTTCATTACAGGCGTCACTCAATTGTGAACGTTAAAGGGAGGCTAAACCGACTCCCCCTTCAATATTTCAGTCAATATATGGGTGATTTCGGTTACAGCAGACCTTTTTCCTTTTCCCCTTCTCGTATAATGCGGAAATGAATTGTTTTGTTCCAATTTCAGAATTCAGACCAGAAAATTGCTTTCTTAGGTTGACAAAGTTTTTTTGTCCAGGAATTTTCTCGAACCCTTTCGTTGTGAAACAGTAGTATATTATCGCCTGACGGAAGGGACGAATTCCGAGCGGAATGAAACTGCTTACGCACTTCGGAAGCCCTCTTCTCTTTTAAGGGTTTATCTTAAACTGAGCTTTCCCGCGAATCTGACGCAGTGTTATGGAAGAAAAAGGTATATCATCAAGCAAAATGGACTTCAATGTCTGCTTGATTAATGTACTGCAGCTATTTCTTGCTCCAATCGACAAAGTCAATTATTGCCGCGCCCATTGAAAAGTGCCGCATTACGGCGCCGCGCAAGTGACCGCGCGCGACGGCGCCACTCCCGGACGATTCTGTTGCACGCTCCCCCATAAAAAGCCACC